GGGGGGAGGAGGAGGGGGAGGGGGAAGGGGAGGGGGGAGAGAGAGGAGAGAGAAGAAAAGAGAAGAGAAAAGAAATTACTAATATGGGCCAAAAAAGCCATCTATCGTGCTGACATGCTCCCCCCAAGAGTCTGGTCCAGGGTCCCACGCCCTGCACCTCCTCAGCGCCGGCCACTCACCAGGACACATCACTGAGGGTGTGGTAATGTATGTTAGACACGTAGCCAAAGGGGAACGGCTGCTGGGTGTCGTACAAGAGCACCGAGTCCTCGGAAGCCACGGCAAACACCAGGCGGTAGGGCAGGCGCACCAGCTCCACACCCAGCTCCTGCGAGGGTCCGTCTGCTGGGGGGGGACGGACAAAGGACAGGAAAATAAGGAGCAAACGCCAACAAATCCCCCCCAAAAGCCCTCTGTCAGGGGACATAAATGACATCATTTTACTCAAGGCCAGTTCTAAGGAGAACGCCCCAGGAGCCGGCGAGGACACAGGGTTCCGACCCGAGCGTCGGGGGCACCACAGGAGGTCCAAAAAGACGGGACCGGACGTGTGAATGAACAGGGCAGGCTGAGGGGCCACTTTTGGAGAAGGAATAATAAGGGTCACCGAGAAACACCCCGTCAAGTGACACTTTAACGGTCCTTCAGTTCGTTATGTGCATTCACATCAAGGAATAAGGATTTACTCGCCCACCTGGAGCAACAAACACCAGGCAGAACTGACCAAACGACGGCCTTTCAGACCCCGAGCATCAGGCACTGAAGGACACGGATCCCTGAGGGAAGGAAGTGAAGAGGGAGGCCTACATCTGCCTCAGTTTACCGCCTGGAGCTTCCAGACCCGGAAAAGGTTAAGAGGGAAGCCGACAGGACGGAGCTGGAAGCAGGAGGCCTGGGCGGCTGGAGCTCACGGGCAGAGACGCACAGGGGCCCTTTCTGGTCTCCAGCTGAGCACTGATGGGAGCGAGCATGTGAGGAAACCACCCCAAGACAGAGCAAGAACTACAGGAAAGCCATGCCTGGCGCTCCCTGCGGCCAGGTGGAAAACCTAGCTCTCGGGGCTCAGATGAGCCTACTTCAGGCCACTTTGCTGCAGCAGTGGGGAAATTAGCTGTCGACCAAATGCCCCTGGGGTCCGGTCTACCAAAGAGAAGCAGCGCAGTATTTCCTAGTGACTTCACCGCATCCCAGAATAAAGCTCAATATTTATAAAAATATATCCAGCAGGGGCGCCTGGGTGGCTCAGTCGTTAAGCGTCTGCCTTCGGCTCAGGTCATGGTCCCAGGGTCCTGGGATCGAGCCCCACATCGGGCTCCCTGCTCCACGGGAAGCCTGCTTCTCCCTCTCCCACTCCCCCTGCTTGTGTTCCTACTCTCTCTCTCTCTCTGTCGAATAAATAAAATCTTTAAAATATATATATATTTCCAGCATCCACTAAGGTACAGTTCACAATGTCTGGCATCTAATAAAGAATTACCAGGCATTCAAAGAAGAAACTATGACCCACAATGAGGTGGGGGGGGGGTGAGTCAAAGCCACTCCTTTGTAATAACTCAATGTCTTTGTGAACATACACTGTATTCTGCATGTTCAAGAAGAGGAAAGACGGAGCATGTTAAGTAGAGACGTGGGATATGTAATACAGAAAACAGATACAGCAGGAAGCCAGGGGGTGACGTCAAGTGACCTAATGCACGTGTAGGTGGAGTCCCAGATGGAGAGGTCAGGGCATGACGGAAAAAATGTGATGCCACAGTGGTCGAAACTCCCCAAAACTACAAACCCATAATGAGGAAAACTATAAACCCATAGATCTAAGAAGCTCAATGAACCCCAAGCATGAGAAACCTGAGGAAAACCACACGAAGGCCCATCATAATCTGATTGCTTAAAGCCTTGGACAAGATTTCTCTGTTTACATGAAGAAAAAAAAAAAAAACCCTTAAAAACAAAAATCCAATTCAAACATAACTTTACTGCATAGGAGATGGATGAATGATATTCGACCTGCTTCAGTAGAAAAATACGAGTACCTTTCTTCCTTTAAAGTGAAGAAGGTGTAATGTGGACAATGCAAAAACTGGACACACGTTCTGATAACACCGGTCTTTGCTCCAGCTCCTCCTAGGAACTAAACTGAACCAAACCCACATACCTTTCCCCACAAGATAAAACCCAAATCACGACCCGTAGCACGACCACTGCAGCTCTAACGTACCTGTTTCCACCACGGGCCTCAATTCAAAGTAGACCGGACAGCAACGGACAGCGAGCGTCGCTTTGCCAGGACACGGAAGATGAGCGATAGGCCTGGAAGATGGGTCATGACCTTTTTAGAAAGGGCACTGTTTCGCACCAAGAGCAAAAAGAAAGGGTAAACGTTTCAACTATGTCTTCAATTGCATACCTTTTAAGATTTTTCCTGGAGAAAACATAAGTCGTATTTGTTACGTTTTCACCAGATTCCACACATCCAGCTGGGGAAGCAGGGAGAGGGAGAAGAGGCAAGGTTTTGTTAGACTGAAGAAGATAAACTCAAGAGCATCCACCCCTGGCTCGTAAAAATACTCTCCCCCGCTAGCTGTCTACTCTGGACAATGTTTTTGTGACTGAGGACGAATACAAACAGTCCCAGTCTGGGCTCGGCTCTCACCCAAGCTCTACCCACCTGTCCCCTCCCCCGAGCGGCCCACCCATCCAGGGCGGCTTGAGGCCTGGGCAGAAAGAACAGAGCAGGGGGCCCTTGCGGTGAAGACCTCTGCCAGGGAGACCAGCCACTTCCTGCTGCAGAAGCTCTCGCTAGACCCCCCGGCTCGGTCCTTGGATTTGAACTTGGCAGCCTGTGCCTGCTCTTTTCCACCTGCCCGCTGGGGCCAGAAGGCCGCCGGGGGGGGGGGGGGGGGGGGCAGGCCTCTGCTACAGTCCCAGCCCCCTGCAGCAGCTGACCTTGTTCTGGGGAGAGCCCACATTTGAGCTCTTCCACACGCACCCCACGATGTCCTGAAAACCAGGCCAGACCCGGGCAGAGAATGACCACCAGCCACAGCTGCTCTTGGACACCGCTTTCTTGATACACGTGAAATCTCACCTGGGACCCCCTCATCCCCACCAGGGTGGGCAGAGGTCCTGTCAGCACTCTCAACCTCCCCCACCAGCCCAGCCTGCCATCCCCACGTAACCCATTTGAACAAGCCATGGATCATTTCTGCCTTTCCCCCACGCTCACACAACCCACCGCAACCAGTTACAACTCAACCGCTTATCTATTCATATGGTGTGGTTTTCAGTCCAGCTCACAGAAACGGGGTCTTGTTTACACCCCTCCTTCCATTGGTCTGCTCCGTCAACCACTCATGAACGCTGACTTGGGTAATGCACCTTTTTACTAGCTGCCTAACATTCACTGCTCTGAAGATACCATACTTCGTTCACCCATCTTGTTAATCAGTATTGTTTTTTCACAGCTCCAAACAATACTTGCAATAAACAGGGTTGAAAATATACTTTTTCGTACTAGGTTTTCATTTCTTAAAGACTAAGTCTAAGATGAGGGGCAGATTGGCTGACAAGGACATGCATTTAACGGTGACGAGAATGTTTTCTGAACAGGCTGTAACCATTCACAATCCCACCAGCAATATCCACATTCTGCTTGCCCATCAGCAGCGATATTTTCACTTTTTTCTGGTCTGAAAAGAATAAAAGATACCTCATTGTGTGTCACTTTAATTTCTCTTTCTGTCACTGAGTTTTCAAACCTTTTCCTTTGTGTGCTGAAACGCATAGATCTGCCTTTTTGTATCTTTCACCCATTTTTTTCTTCTGGGTTTTCCTTTTTTCTCATCAATTTGGAAGAGCCATTGTAAGTGATATACATAGGCTCTCTCTTTCCTGTGACGTAAACAGTATTTTCCAGTTCTGTTAGTTGTCGACTGATTTCGCTTATGGGATCTTTGCTGTACAGAGGCTCCCCAGTCAAATGCAGTCGAAAAGGCCTATCATTTAAGAACTTCCAAGTTTCCAGTGTTAAGTTTGTCCTCCCTGTTCCTAGGATGTCCTCCTACATTTTCACCTTTTATATTTAAGTACTGAATTCACCTGGAATTTTTTTTTTATATGTAAGTTAAGGGTCCAGTATCATTTTCTTCCAGACACCTGGACATTCTAGCACCATTCACTCAGTAATTCATTCTTCCCACTGAAATACCACCCAAGTCAGATATTTAATTCCCTTTGATCTCAGGACCTATTTCTGGATTTTCTGTTCTGGTCCACTCATCTGTTTATTCCTGTACTAATAACCATGTTGATCTGATGGTAGTAGCACCAACAGTATCTGCTGACATTTAGTCAAACACCTGCTCAAGTATTATTAATTTCCATACTTTTAAAACTATTCTTGGGGCGCCTAGGTGGCTCAGTCGGTTAAGCGTCCAACTCTTGATTTCAGTTCAGGTCATGATCTCAGGATCATGAGATCAAACCCTGCAACAGGTTCCATACTCAAGGCAGAGTCTGCTTTGGATGCTCTCCTTCTCTCTAAATGGATTGAAAAAAAAAAAAAAAAACTTGTTAAACTCACCTGGTGTGAGGAGCAAAGATCCATCAGGAGTAAAACTAAGTCTACGAAAGAATGACTTCATGCTGTCATCATGAAACATCCGGTAACTTCTTGCCTGTGGCACACAAGTTTAAACATTAATCCAAATCTTTACAGTCACAAGAAAGGCTAACCAGTTTTTTTAATTTTACATAGTATCATCTATTACATAATAATAGATGAAATATATTACAAATCAAAAAATCACTCAAGACTGCAAGAGTAGGGGTGCCCAGGTGGCTCAGTCAGTTAGGCACCGAACTCTTGATTTCGGCTCAGGTCATAATCTCAAGGGCCTGGGATCGAGCCCTGTGGCAGATTCAGCAGGGAGTCTGCTTGAGATTCTCTCCCTCTGCCCCTCACCCCACTCTCTCTAAAATGAATAAATCTTAAAAAAAAAAAAAAACCTGCAAGAGTCTCATGAAAGCTAACTGCCCATTTGTGTTAAGGAAAGCTGTGTGTGTTGGGGCGCCTGGGTGGCTCAGTCCATTAAGTGTCTGCCTTCAGCTCAGGTCATGATCTCGGGGGTCCTGGGATGGAATCCTGCATTGGGCCCCCGGCTTGGCGGGAAGCCTGCTTCTCCCTCTCCCTCTGCCCCTTGCCCCCCTCAAATCTTTAAAAAAAAAAAAAAAAAAGGAAAGCTGTGGGTGTACATAGGTGTGTGTGTGTGTGTGTGTGTGTGTGTGTGTGGCTCTACAGTTATTTTACGAAGCCTCTATGAGAACACAGCACACTGTCGGCAGTGGTTTTTCTGGAGAATGAGCCTGGGAGTTGGGAGAAGCAAGATGACAACCAGGGGCCCTTTGTTATCTGTGTGTGTCCACTTAGAATTTCCAACTTAACACTTCTTAGAAAACACTCCACTACTAAACTGGTAAACCTATCTTTCCAAACATGTCTTAAACGCCTGTGTGGGATGGTTTTTGCTCCAACTCACTGACACTTGATAAACACTAAGCATTAGGTCTCCAGGACCCAAAGACCCAGCATCACCCTCCTCACCGTAGGGGAGCTCACCTATGCCACCAGTAGCCAGCTGCCTGAGGACGGGATTCGCACTGCGTCCCTTTTTTGTTCCAGTGACCGACCTGCTCCCTTTTGCCTAAGTGCCTGTGTCCGTAGTCTTGATTCCTCTAGGACCAATGGCTGGGTCTCTGTTGTCCACCAGCAACATTCTCTCCATACCGGCCAGAATGGTATACGGCCTCTTGCCAGACAACCTGATGCTTGACCCACCTGCCTTCCTGTTGCACAGTGCCGGGGTCCCCTAGGTCAGAAGTTCTTGACCCTCACTACACCTCAGGATCCCAGAGGCCCTGCCACCCTCAAGCCAAGTGAATGACATCTGGGGGGAGGGGGTCGGGCACCCATATTTCTCAATGCTTCCAGGGGACCCCACAGTGAGCCAGGGTTGAACACCTCTGTCCATCATCAGCAGCTGTCCCCTGCCCCCCCCCAGATGTCCCCAGTCCCATGCAGACCGGCCCAACGGTCTAACTGGGCCTTGACTGGATCTGAGGAAGTACAAGGTAGTTCAAGCGTCGGGGGCCTGAGACCAGTGGTTTAGCCTTAAGACACGGAGGAGCTCATGACCTCCCGAATCTCAACAGAAGCCCTGCTAAAGTAGAAGGTCAAATATTTCCTACCTCTCCTTCGGCCCCTATTCCAGACAGCATTTTTGAGACATTAAAAGCCACACGTTTCTTCTGGGTGCTGTAGACCCTCAGGATCCTAAAGAAAGAAGAAGACTCTGACTGGTCCCTTCTAGTGAATGAAGTGTTTCACACAGAAGCAACCAGTACCAAAACTGAAGACCGATTAAACAATGTCAGCCTGCGAGACCACCTATAGTAACTGTTGTCACCCTGTCACATTAATTGTGGCAGAAGCAAGCCACCAAGGCAGGTCACTAATGAAGTCAGGAAATAGGTCATAACTTCATTTCTTACTGAATGTTTCAACTTATCAAGTAAGATGGGCTTTAGGCCTGGCCCTTTCAGGCTTTGGACACTCGGCCCATTGGTGATTTGTAAGACTATGGTGATATTTGTTTCAAACGGTCTTGCCCTCAGGGATTTGCAAGAGTAAGGAAAACTCCAGCACATAAATTTGGTTGTTGCTAATTCATATTATTCCCACTAATCAGATCCTTATATTCCTGAATGCCCGAATAAAACACACAGATTGGAAAATAAATGCACATACAATATAAAGGTGTTTGTTTTTCATAGCTTCTCCTAACTCTTCCACATTGCTGGGCCATCTGAAATCAAAGGTGTTATGATTAAAAGTAGTCGGGTGGGGCGCCTGCGTGGCTCAGTCGTTAAGCGTCTGCCTTCGGCTCAGGTCATGATCCCAGGGTCCTGGGATCGAGCCCCACATCGGGCTCCCTGCTCAGCGGGAAACCTGCTTCTCCCTCTCCCACTCCCCCTGCTTGTGTTCCCTCTCTCACTGTGTCTCCCTCTCTATCAAATAAATAAATAAAATCTTTAAAAAATAAATAATAAATAAATTAAATACATAAATAAATAAAAGTAGTTGGGTAAATACTCAAAAAGACTATTCTGGGGACGCCTGGGTGGCTCAGTCGGTTGGGCGTCTGCCTTCGGCTCAGGTCGTGATCCCGGGGTCCTGGGATCGAGTCCCGCATCGGGCTCCCTGCTCGGCGGGGAGCCTGCTTCTCCCTCTGCCTGCTGCTCCCCCTGCTTGTGTTCTTTCTGTCTCTCTCTCTGACAAATAAATAAATGAAATCTTAAAAAAAAAAAAAAAACAACTATCGTGACCAATGAGTAATATATCCAGCACCTCTGATGTTTAGTTCCTTGTTCCAAGAACACAATTAAATGCAGGACACCAGTAAAGACAGCAACAAAACCTCCTTCCAAAAAAGACAAAATATTCTAGGTTTACGTTAAGTAGAATCATTAAAATCCCTGCAGTAGTAAACTATAATTAAAAAATGAAATAGGGGGTCTGGCTGGCTCAGTCAGTGGACCATGCGATTTGATCTCGGGGGTTGTGAGTTTGAGTCCTGCACTGGGTGTAGAGATTACTTAAAGAAAAAATCTTAAAAAAAAAAAAAAGAAGAAAGAAATATCGAACCCTACCACTAGGTGCCCCTTCTTGCCTAAGTCATAGTTATAAAAAACACTTTTTCTTTAAAAGTTGCCCATGAAATTCAAATGTAATTCAAAGCTCTCTATGCATTCATTCACCCATTCAATAAAGACTTACTAAGCACTACATATAAGGCACTTGCCCTAATTAGTTTCCAATTTCTTGTTATGGTGTAAGAATAACAGTAAAACCAAATGCTTTATATGAAACCAAGAACGTGGATGGATGGACAGACGGATGAATCAAACCCAGACTTTGCTTTATTATTGGTTAAGTGGTGACGAAAACACCTCTGCAGAAAGATTAAGCCAATAGCGAAGACGACTTGCCAAATACTTACGTACCTGTCACAGCTGAGGGTAGCAACATACTGACCCAAGGGGTCCCAGGTTACTCCTTGGACATAACTTTTATGTTCATTAAAGATGGAGATCTTTTGTCCTGGGAATAAAGCACACAACAGCATTATGGAAACCTACTCAAGCACGAGTGGCGTCAACCACACTTTAGGTATGACGCCCTTTACCCCATTCCGTCATTCTGCCTCTGCACCACGCTCTGTGTCGGGCTCCGGGGAGACGAAGCCCACACTCCCAAGGAGCCCGCAGCTTCACGGGAGACACACACCCACAGACGGGCAGCACGGGGCACTGAGGGGCAGCTGAGGCAGCAGTGAGGGTCAAGAAGGGGGCGAGGCGAGTTCGGCTCTCCGGGTCAGGCGGGACGAAGCGGGTCACGAAGGAGCAGGCATTGTGAGCAGATCCACGGCAGGAAGGGAGGGCAGTTTAGGCACAGGGAGCAATAAGGAAGGGAGAACTCTAGAGGGTCACGTCCAGGGCCAAAATGGCAAGACAGGGAAGACAGGAGGTACGTGACTGCGACCCTTGTGTACAAGGTTCTGGGAATTCAAGGTGAGGCCGAGAGCAACACTCGACTGGGAAGCGACCCGCGTGACGAAGATGAAACCGAGGTTCACAGAGAACACAGGCAGTGCCCTAGTTAGGAGGTGACAGCAGGCCAGGCCGGGGCCCGCGCAAAGCTAGCAGGATGGAAAAGGGACTCCGCGGAAAGAGATTAAACCGGCAGTGCCGAAGATTACCTGGATAGAGAGAGGAGGGAGTTATGAAGCCCTGGCCATTCAGCACAAACAAAACCCAAAACCCCAAAACCCTCTTCTCTGAAAAGGCGTCTACACTCGCTCACTCACCTCCCCCAGTCTTCTCCTCTCAGCCCTCTGCGGTCTGGCCTCCGCTCCGCTCCCCTCCTAAGTTGCCTGTGGCCCCGACACCGCCCCCACGTCCGTGAAACGCAGTGAGCGTGCTTCAGGCTAACTACCACCTCCCCAGCCTTCCTACGAGTCTTTTCGGGGAGTGTGTGACATTAAGGTGGCCCGGGGCTGGGTGACAGCACCTCCTCAGACGACCTCTGAGTTTTGCAGGAGTCTTTTTAACCCACAGTTGCGTCACTGAGTCGGTGTGTGAGTGCGGGGGTTTCTGGAGAGGGACTCTGTAAGCGACCTGCCCTGGGGCTCGGGCGGCTGCCCCAGGGCCCCTGCCCTTGCCGCTCCCACAGGCTGGAGCCTCTTCCCCAAGGAACGCCCGCGGCCCGCCCCCCTGCCTTGGGCCGGAGCAGCCTGCCTGGCACTGCCACCCCCCCCCCACGGATGTCACACCTACATCTGACGCCCCTGACACGCAGCCATCATCCTGTAGGATGTAATGACCTGGCCACGTTCAAGGTCGTTCCAACTGGCATCAGGGGGCTGATGGGTGGACTGTCCACACAGACACTGACACCGTCCGGAGCAATGGCCTGATGTGGGAAAGAGAAGACGACAGGGACACTGGCCCTCTGCTTTGCCAAAGTCCGGGACAGAGGTGGGGCAAGAAAGAGGGGGTCTGGCTGAATGGCAGGACCTAGAACAAACAGACTTTCACAGAGTGGACAATCCAGAGGTGCAGGCAGCACGGGGGGGCGGGGGTGTCTTCTCCACCCTGACTCCCTCCCAGCACTCTCGGGCTGCAGGAGGACCAGCCGGGAGCACCAATGGGAGCACCAGGGGGAGCTCGGCAAGAGGCTACGAGGAAACATCAAGGCTGAGTAACGGTCTGCAGGGGGCAAAAATGGCCCGGCGTTAGCCACTCACCGGCTTTTGGCATTTCACTGCCATTTTTATAGATTCTCACATGTCTACTATCTCCCCACCCAGAGAACAGGTTCTATAAATGAGTGAGGTTGTCCTTGGCGGTCCTTGCTGTCAAACGGACACCTGACCCTACCTTTCCCAACACGGTGAATTCAGGGCCCATCGATGACGACAACGTGCTAAAACTGCCCAAGAGCCTGAGTTCCACGAAGGCAGGGGTGAGCCCTGCCCCCAACACGTCTGCATCCCCATGCATGTGGGACGGACCTCGCTCTAGCGCCATGGCTAAGCCTCCCGCACTCGGACTGGGACCCTAAAACTAAGTCGGATCCATGACACAGGGGCATCCTCACCTGCTGAGCCAGACACCTATTTTAGTTCACTCAGAAACTCTTCTTATGCCTTTAAAGATAAAGCAGGTTATGGGCGCCTGGGTGGCTCAGTAGGTTAAGTGTCTGCCTTCGGCTCAGGTCTTGAGTCCGGGGTCCTGGGATGGAGCCCCACACTGGGCTCCCTGCTCAGCGGGGAGTCTGCTTCTCCCTCTCCCCCCATGCCCTCTCTCGCTCTCTCAAATAAATAAAATATTTAAAAAATAAAAAAAATAAAGATACAGCAGATTAGACTTTTTAGCCACTAAGAAGATTCCTTCCCCCTGACAATAACAGAAACGTGTCAGCTACCTTTACTGACGTCCCATATGATGGCTGTATTATCCACAGAGGCAGAAGCCATTAAATTCCCGTCGGCTGCCCAGCAAATATCGTACACATCTTCTAAGTGGCCCCTGGAGTCCAAAGAGGAGAAAGAAAGCAAATCTTGTCTCAGCAAGAGAAAAACCATCAAAAATTTACAGGCAAACTCGGAGACCATACATTAGGATTTCCGAAATTTCTACGGGAACTATATTGGCCGCAGCTAGGATCTGCTACCTTCACGGGTAGTTATAGCTTTATAATTGATTCAATCTGACTGAAGAAAATTTTATAGCAGAAATAAAACCCATTTGGGGTGCCTGAGTGGCTCAGTCGGTTAAGCGTCCAACTCTTGGTTTGGGCTCCAGTCATGATCTCAGAGTCGTGATATCGAGCCCCATGTTGGGCTCTGGGCTGGCTGTGGAGCCTGCTTGAGATTTTCTCTCTTCCTCTGCTCCCTCCCCCTCAACTCTCTCTCTTAAAAAAAAAAAAAAGAGAAAGAAAGAAGATCCATTTTAATCGTGTTTCTAAGTCAAAATGCAGAGCACCTGCATTTTGGCTCAGTCAGTAAAGCATGCGACTCTTGATCCCAGAGCTGTGAGTTCAAGCCCCATGCTGGGTGTAGAGCTTACTTAAAAAAATTTTTTTTAAATAATAAAAAAATGCATGTGAGTTGAATGCATTCAGATCAGTTAGATAAATCACTCCCGTGGGCCTCCGCAAGTTACCTCAGGGTCTTTACGACAGTCCAATTCTCCTTATTCAGCTGAGCCTCATCCTCATCCTGAAAAGCAATCTGTTCTGGCTCCTTGTTGTCGTTGACCTTCCACAACAGAATGACAGCATCTGTGGAGTGATTCAGTTAAAGATAAGCCATGCTTTTTGCATGCTCCTTCATTTCTGGGCTTTTAGGATATTAAACCCTATTCACGTTGTTCAATAGACACTATGGTCACCATGAGTGACTTCTAAGAATTTGGAAAGGAAAAACAGGTTTGCCTTCTGATCTAAAACTCCAAAATCAAACCCATACCAGATCAGAGCTATCCAGAGTCACGTGCAACAGAAGAGTCCCTAGGCCGGCAAAACACCATTACAAAGCGCTGTGTTAACAAATCCTAAGGCATTACCTATGGATGGCTGAATAGGGAAAAACCAAGAGCCATCAAGCAAGGATTGGCAAATCATTCCCAGCTGTCTTAGCCTCAGCAGGATTTAGCATCTTAACTCCTCAGTTACCTCACCTGTAAAATGGGGATAACAGCATATACCTACCTCATAGGGCTTTCTCGGGGATTAAATGAGTTAATATGCATAAAGCACTTAAAACACAATGCCCAGCGCATGGTGATGCATGGACGCATTAGCTACTCATATGGACACATCAGATACCTCAGCCTGATGTCATCCATTGTCCGGGTGCTCCAACTCCCTGTGCTCTGACCCCAACTCTCCACACAAGTCTGAGCACCGCTTGGCTTCCCTCTGAATGCCACCAGCAGGACAGTCACTGAGCCGGCTGTATGGGCAGAAGTGTGGAATTTGGGGAGCCGGCTGGAGGGAAGATCAGCCTTGACATTGGCAGGTGGCCACTCTCCACTGCTAACAGCAGGTTTCTGGGCCTCCAAGGCCAAAGGACTTGGCAAACCAAAGGCTGCCCTGTGCGACCTCTCAGAAGACAGCCTGCCAGCCTCCCCCAGGGGCGTTCCCCACTTTCCACCTTAACCTCTGTGCACACACGCCCTGGACACCATGGCACTGAACTTCACCGGGTCACTTTCCTCCTTCTGCAAACAAAACCTGTGATGTGTTTTATTTTCTAGTAACTTCTAGACTCTTCTGGTGTCAAAGCATGGTAAAAAGATTTACTTTTTTGGTAGTAGTTTTGTGCTATTTAAGCACAAGCAGAAAATATGAATCAATCTACTCCCACCAAGGAAACATAATTTAGAGGGCCATTCAGACAATACTCCCCCAAGTGAATTAATTACGAGAGACGTGGGAAAGACTGTGATCACTTGGGTACCAAGCCAGCGATCAAACAAGGCCAGGACAGCTGTATTGGAACACTGGCAAAATGGTAAGTGCCCCACTTGTCTCCACCAGCAGAGTGGGGTGAGGGGGAGTCGCTGGGGGGGTGCACTGGACACTTACAAACAGCTCTTCTCAGGTTAAGCTTGCTGTCCTCCATCCCTTCATACTCCTCAGAACACTATTTTACTAAACTATCTAAATGACGGATTGAGAGGTCAAGTGACCTCTAAAATAAAAAAGCATACCTAGCTCAGATCTCACTATTTAACATGAGACACAAAGGTATCTGGTTTCTAAGGAATTTTGAAGGCTAATACTAACACTCACCATCTCCTCCTGATGCTAAAATTTCCCCATTTGGAGAAAAACGCACGACATTGACAGCTTTGGTATGGCGAGCAAGATTGGACAAAAATTCAACAATGGCCTTTCCGTCGGGTCCTTTTTCCACCTTCCAGATCTGTTGATAACCAAAACATTCGTTCAGAGAACCATATAGTGAGCACCTACCATACTGTGCTTACTAAAACAACACCAGGCTAATTTTCAGGAAGAAAACAGTTTTTCTTTTGCTACGTAAAATGGAACTTCTTTCTGAAACGTACCCTAACGGTCCCATTGCTCGCTGCCCTCTCTATCTCTTTCTAGTGCAAACTGTTCCCCAACAGGAACTGGCTCGGGATTCTAATTTCATGAGCATCCAGCTTATCAATTAGGGAAACATTCCCCAAGGAGCAAAGCTTTCTTTTGCTTTCATGGCTCATTCAAGGCCCTGAGAATTTCTCTCTCTGCGCCAGATGACAGAACAGTCGGAGTTTTTGTTGACACTCGTCTTAAAGGAAAGAATGGAGAAGGAAGCTTCAGCAGCGCCTCTCTGTATCCCGCCCCATTTACCCGAACCGCGGTGTCCACGCCCGCCGACGCCAGTCTGTGGATCCTCCCCGCCGCGCCATGCTGGAAGTCCAGGCTGTACACCGGCTCCTTGTTGTGCCAGGCTATTTCGCAAGTAATGACTTTCATCCTCCTGAGCCTTGAGGGAGCAAAACAAATTCCTCCAGCACCGTTCTTTTCCCAAAGACAGAGGAAAGCTGAAAATCGCTGGTAATGAGTTATCAGAGCAGGAAAGGGGTCCTGAACGCTTATTATGAGCCGGGAACCCTGCTCATCATTAAAAATGCGCGCCGTACCGGGAAAGGATGCCAGTGTTGACCTCTCAGGTAACACCTTTGCAGGTGCACCTAAGAAGCTTCACTGAGCCGAGGCTGTTGGGTTTATTTTACTGCTACGTCCGGAAAAGCAAAATGCAACACCCAGGCAGAGGAAATCAAGGGGCCGGGCCCTGCTGCGCGACCGCCCCCGCTTGGTGGGGGTTGGGGGGCGCTCCCGGAGAGCCAGGGGTCGGGTCGCTCGGGTGAGGGGCTGTCCGGGGCAAGGGGCCGCCTGGGGGAGGGGGCCGCGGGGGACACCCACCTCCCAGGGGCGGGGGCCACGAGGAGGGGGTCGCCCGAAGGAGGGAACCGGGGCCGGAGGGGACCTTCCCCCGTTCGCAGGCCGCAAGGGACGGGACGCTCGGCGGAGAAGCCGAAAGCAGGCCCGGCCCGGAGGAGGCCGCACGGGGTCGGGGCGGGGACCGGCCGCCGGAATGCACGCCGCTCCGGAGCTATGCCGAGATCCGGCGGCCCGCCCTCAGCGAGATCCTCTCGTCCCCGTCCGACCCCGCAGGGAGACCGTGGGGACGCCAGAGCCAGCGCCGGGGAAGCAGTACCTGCACGTACACGGCCAGTCGACTGCACCGCCAGCTCCCGCCGCCGCTTGCGCTTCTTCCCGCGCGCCGCAAGCCGCGCCTCCTATGGGGGGGACTCCCCGCGACGCCCCGCCTCTTTGTCGGTGGGACTCTGTTCGCCCCGCCTTCGTGTGGGCGGGATTGCGTGGCGCTCCGCCCCTCCTCCGGCCGCAGAGAGTGGTCCCGAGGTGCTGGGTCCTCGGAATCCCCGCCGGCTCCCGCCGGTTCACTAATTACGTGCCCGACCGACGCCTCTGTGGAAGGCGAGTTCACCGTCTCATTCATTCAAATCAGTTCTTCCCTTCTTAACTCTTTTAGCAAACATTTCCTGAGCATCTGCCAGATGCTGGACCCTATGCCGGTGCTGGACAAGCAGTGCAGAGAGAAACTCAGACATACTTACCCTCAGGGAGTTGACAGTCCGGTGAAAGGAAAAGAGCGGTCCTGTAGGACAGGTGGGGAGGCTGTATCTCTGAGACACCCCCCCCAAGACCACCCCGTCTGTCACTGGTATTCTTTCACAGCGAGTGTCTGAGAGCTGTAACTCTGCATCAGGCCCCGTCTCGGTCTCTGGAGCTTCAAGCATCAGTAAAACACAAACTCTTTTTGGGCATCCTGTAGTCATGTACACAAATAATTATTTTAAAAAGGAGTGTGAAAAAAAGTGTATAAGGAACAATGTGCTCGGTTATTTTGATCTGAAACCTCAAGGGAAGTCTGAAGAGAAGGCATTTAAAATGGGCTTCAGGTGATAGAGTTTTGGATGATCAGCTCTGGGAAATGGGAATTTAAGCTTAAAGAAACTCACAGTTGACAACAGAGGCACAGAGGGGGGAGCAGTGGAACTCGCAATGGGAAAGGATGGATGGGGCAAAACCCTGGAAGCATTTAGACGTGAATGAGCAGGTCATTTGGACGTGTGTGTCTCAAAGGCAGTTTTCTTATTCTAAATTAACTGGAATCCTGCATATATTAGTCTGGGAGCCTCGTTGAGACGAGATGACAGATGGACACTCTCTTTGTGCTGACAAACGGCAGGTTTCTGGGTCTTCAACACCAAGGGACTTTGCAAAACGAGTGCTGCCCTGTGCAACCTTGCAGAAGAGAGCCTGCCAGCCTCCCCCGGGTGGCTCTCCCACTCCCCACCTTTCCGCTGTTCTCTCTCTTTCCCTCCCTCCCTCTCCCTCCACCCCCCTCCCTGGATATCATTGCACTTGAACTTAACCAGGTTTCTTCTTCCTTTTGCAAACAAAAATGTAGAATTTTGGGGGTTTTTTTAATATATATTGGCTTTTAGAATGTTTTGGAGAGTTCAAAGCAATAAGCAGATGTGGTCATAAACACCTGTTAAACATTTTCAAGAAAGGTTGTAAATCAGAAGCCTGAACTAGATGCAGCAGGCCTTTTGAAATGGGATAATTTTCTAAATGGGACAATTTATCAGTGAGCTTCCAAGAAGGCCAGGAAACAAAGACCTTGGGATGAATCGCTTTTACTTGATAAAAGGAACATATAGGTTCATCTGAGGAGCCAATTCTTTTTTTAGGAAAAAGAATGACCTGGATTCTTATATAAATGCTGGTTATTCTTTTAGCCAATTTTATGAAAGTTATAGAATTTGTCTATAAATGGATGTCTTGTGTTGAGAGGAATGACTGGGAACTCCTTAAGCCTGATTTCTACAGTAAACTAAGAGAATTTAATCCAGATATGTAGCTTTTAGATCTTCTCTCTTAAATCATGGCTAGGATTTAGAGGGCTTGGACTGGGAATGACTAACGTAGGTAATCTGGCTGTTTTAAAAGTACAGATTCCTGGCCCTACGTAGGCCCACTGATTCAGAGTATCCAGCAGGGGGCGCCCCTGGAAGGTCTGCATTTTCTCAAGGTCCCAGGTGAGTGATAATGAATCTGGTTTGGATCCAGGGGTTCAATGTCTCTCATAACCACCAGGTTTCTCCCCATTTCTAACAATGCTCTTGGTTCACAAATGAATCCTCTGACCACCTCCTAGAGTGCCAGGATTCTAGACTGTAGATCAAAAAAAAAAAAAAAAAGACATAGGTTTAGGTACTAAATATACATGAAGGAGATGGCTTTCTTGGTGAAAACTGGGGCGGGGGGGGGCCTTGATGTCAGTGCCTGCCTGGTGAGCCACATGGTGGCCAGAGTGGGGATCTGAGATGTGTCAAATGTTTTCAAAAAGAAAGGGGGTAAAGAGAAGGAAGGAGGGAAGGAGAGAAGAAGGAAGGCAAGTGTTTGGTGACCTCAGACTTTTGCACCAAGATCTACGGCAAGTGATTCCACCTAGATGCCTCAACAATCAGTGAACTTCACTTTGGGCTGCAAGCATTGATTTTAACACGAGTGCATCACTCTAAGGGGACCACAAGTTATTTGGTCTCCTGAGAACTTTTTTTATAGTGAAAATTAATATAACGGGAGTAAATCTTAATCTGACTTCAAAAACAAAGATTTCTCGGGGCGCCTGGGTGGCTCAGTCGTTGGGCGACTGCCTTCGGCTCAGGTCATGATCCCAGGGTCCTGGGATCGAGCCCCACATCGGGCTCCCTGCTCAGTGGGAGGCCTGCTTCTCCCTCTGCCACTCTCCCTGCTTGTGTTCCCTCTCTCGCTGTGTCTCTGTCAAATAAATAAAATCTTTAAAAAAAAACACACACACAAAGATTTCTCTGAATGCACTTTATTATAGTTCCCTTTTCTAAGTGTGACTACTCTAGAATAAAAATCTGAAGTCAGAGTATGTTCTACTAAAACATTATTAAAGGAATAGGAAAGAGGAGCGCACTGAAAATTTAACAGCAGAAATTGAAAGTTCAATACAGGGTTAGGAAAATATATTAAGTTTTATCAAAATAAAAAGGAAAAACAGGAGAAAAGGAAAGTAAAATTTGCACAGGATCTAGTCGAGCACACTGCTGGTGCAAGTGTAAAATGATACAAATCGCTGTGGACTGAATGTTTGGGTCTCCCCCCGCCCCCAAATTCCTATGTTGTAGCCTTAATCCCCAAAGTGATGGTGTCTACAGGTGGGGCTTAAGGGGGTAATTAAGGTTTGGATGAGGTCATGGGAGTGGAGCCCCCATCATGGGATTGGTGCCCTTATAAAGGGATGAAGAAAGTCAAAATTCTCTCTTCCTCCCCACCCGCCACCCTCTCCCAGGTCTCCAACACGTGAGGATGCAGCCATCTGCAGACTGGGAAGTGTCCTCACCAGACACCACATCTGCGGGTGCTTGATTTTTGGACTTCCTTGCCCACAGAATTGTGAGAATTTAATGTTATTTAAGCCACCCAATCTATATCTTTTTTACATAAGCCTGAACCAAGATACAAATACTTTAGGAAACTGTTCAGTAGTTTAAGTCAAAGATTATGTCTACCCTATGGCCCAGCAATTTCATTTTTCTTTCTTTCAAGATTTTATTTAAATTCAAGTTAGTTAACATATAGTGTAGTATTTGTTTCAGGGGTAGAGTTTAGTGATTCATCATTTGCATATAACAGCCAATGCTCATTACATCATATACATGCCCTCCTTAATGCCCATCACCCAGTTACTCCATCCCCCCAACCACCTCCCCTCCAGCAACCCTCAGCTTGTTTCCTAGAGTTAAGGATCTTCCACTCTTGGTGTATATGTAAGAAAAAATGAAAGCAAACTTGCAGGAGAATGTTTATAGCAGCTTTGTTCATAATAGCCCGAATTGGAGACACCAAATATCCATCAACTGAAGAAAAGATAACCAAACCATACCATATTCATACAGTAGAATTCTATTCAGAGATCATAAGGAAATACTGCAACAGCATGGATGAAGCATTAAGATGAGCACAAGAAGGAATTACTTCAAGTGATACACAGAAATGTGGTAATATCCCAAAGAAAACTTATACTTTTTCAGTCATCCCATGGTTAGAAGTGATAGTGGTATTGATACATATGTATATGCATATATATATATGCTTATTGGGAAAAGCAAATAACTATATTATGTGGTTAGGAACCAAGATTTCCAGCAAAAAAGAGAGTAGAAATCTAGATATATAAAATCTAAGAAGATAAATTCTCTAAATTGGCAGTATTGGTATATATTCAATATATTTTTTATCTTAAAAAAAAAAAATTTCCTAGCTAAGTCCACTAAAAAGGCTTAGAAGATAACCAAACCAGAAGCAATGAGTATGTCTGTGCCTCGATATGGTCTCTAAATAGCATTTCCCTTGAAAAGAACCACAGCTTCCTGGAGGAATGGCTGTTTCTTGGTCTAGAACAGGAAATGTTTTAGATGAGCCTGAAATACTTTATTATACCAGAAAGCAAGAAAATCATCAAAGACTACTAGGAATATGTAATAAGGACACAGGAGCCAATTTGAAGACCTGTAGCCAAAGTGAGACAATTTAACATTGGAAAAATGCCACAGTGGATTGAAACACATTAAATGCTAAAATTTACTCATACATAATGATATTAACAAAAAGCCTCAGTGGTTACCTTTGGGAAACAAGGCATAAGCCAAACATTTATCCTGCCTGTTCTATATGAACTATATGCCTCAGGATAACTAAATAGGTTTCCTTTTTAGATGTCCCGCAATTCAGAAGGATTGATAAAATATAAGTACCACCATTTCACAACTCCTAATAAAATAATAGATCTAGGTGCAATTATTAATGGATGCTAAAATCATTAGGTGAAGACTGATAGGGAACTTTATAAAGGACTGTTTAAGATGACAACACCCGAACTCAAATAATTAATATAACAAAAAGGGATGAATATGTATAATGCACCTCTTGGTATGATGCAACACAAAGAACATAGTACCACCTAAGAAGGATTCTTCCAAAGCAAAATAAAACCAAAGAACTTGAATCTGATTAACTCTGTAGATCTACCAGCTTACAGGAATACAAGAGAAAGATTTTCCTAAAAGTTAAATGATATAAAAAATGAAAATTATCAAAGAAAACTGTTCTGATTTCTTCAACTAAAAAATAAGAAAACAGAGGAAGAAGAACCAACCTACAGATTTAAGAAACCTCAGAGACATACCAAC